CCTAACTATAAAACTCACAAATGGCAGCATTTGGACTGCAACCTGGGTCTCTTGATTTGACCCCTAATTATATTCTCTTTGTTCAGATCTCAGTTGCAGCAGCTATTGCGCCTAACCTCAGGAAACTTCCAATGCCCTTGCAGAAAATTCTATAGGAGGTTGAAACTTCAGTAACATGTGTGAACATCTTCTGTCTGTTGCTACTGCAGATGCCTTCCTGTCCTGCTCTTGTGGTGGTGGTGGCGGCCATGTTGCTTTTCCTTGCTCCTAAAGCCTGAGTCAACCCCCACACAGCAGACCAGAAGTGCCAGGGATGTTGAAGTGTAAATTTCCCAGCTCCCTCACCCCTAGGTAGACTATCTCTGAGATGAATTCTACATAAACACCCAGAATCTTCTAGCAGGATCAAGCTGCAGTTGTTCACAGTTGTAGCTGTCTTGATAACATGCCCTTTGATTGATGCCTTCCCTCCTTTGTTCCATTTTTCTTCTTTCAAATGAACTACTTACACTTAAATCACAGGTTCACAGTCTGCTTCTAGGGAAACCCAAACCCAGACACAACACCACTGAGCTGCTGCCTTCTCCTGTGTTTAATTTTGTTGACCCAGCTTAGCCCAGTATTTCACTAACTCACCTCTAAGATTCTGCTGCTGGTTGGCTCACCCTATGTCAGAAGTCTTTTCTCTTGGCCTAACATCCTGACTCGATTTTGGCAGTTCCCCCAACTAGGGCAAAAACTTTTCTGCCTACACCTCTGACCACTAGCTGGATGGATGGCTGTTTGGTTACACAATGGCATCATCCCTGTGACTTGGCTGCCCACAGTCCCAAATCCAGTTGGGAACTCTTTTCCTGAAATGCCGTCTTTGAATGATGACAATGACCTGGATTCACCTTGCTCTTTTGCATATTATAAATTATCCTGCCAGCCAATCTCCATTTTGGGTAAAAGTAGAGCTGTATATAGATATCTGACTTAGTCCTAGTTCTTCCTTCCCCGCCACCAGCTCTGCCATTAAACATAGAAAAGATCTTGAAGCCATGACTGTAAAAATTTATGTATAAACCTGGAAGTATCTAAGCATGCTAATTTTTTTTTTATAGATGGGAGTCTTGCTATGTTGCCCAGGCTGGCCTCAAACTTATGACCTCAAGTAATCCTCCCACCTCAGCCTCCTGAGTGGCTGGGACTGTCTACAGGCATGTGCCACTGCACCTGGTTTAGGCACCTTATTTTAAAAATTTTTTTAAACAATTGTGACTTCCTTTAATAGGATCAAACAAAACTATGTTTAATGTTTTTACATTTTAGTGTATTTTAGCTAATGTAACTGACTGTATAGTTTGTGTGGCATATATTACCATAAGGACATGAACATCCATATCCCACATTACTCAATTAAAGCTGTTGACAAATTTTTCTTAATGAGGATTGAATAGTTAGTCCTAGAGTTTTATGGACTCAGCCGGCCACTAAACATTATGGAAAGTTCCAGTGAGAGACATATGGATGGATACCCACCTAATTTGGGGGCCTTGGTAGGGATTTCAGCTGAAATGCTTGGGCATTTTTTTTCCAATCAAATCACTTAGGGTTTTACACTTTATCACAGGCCATGGTCTTCTGTGGTCACTCTAACTTGAAGTGAATTAAGCTAATCTTCTGGTCAATAAATATATTCTTCTTATGGAGATCTAGTTCATTACTTACAAATAATATTAAATGATATTAAATTCCAAACTTTTAAATAATACTCTTAATAAGAAAAAGTCCAATCTGTCTATTCCATAGCAAGACCAGAAAAAGAAAAAGAAAAACATCTGTATGTGTATATACTCTGCATGGCACCCCACCCCCATCCCAAACAAGCTACAGTGTTTCAGCAGGGGTGGGGTGAAAGGGTGAAATGGATAGGAAAAAACAGAAACATGGATAAAATTATATAAATAACTGTTGTTATTCTTGGACGGTGAAATCCAGATCAACACTTGAATGAATGTTGCCTTACAGAAATTTCAGTGCACAATGAAGCCTTGTTGTGACTCTAAAACTTTGTTCAAAGCCAGAAGCCAAGAAAAAGTTTTCAGATATCTTGACAGAGACCCACGATGGAGTGTTTTACCAATGGCTCTGAAAGAAACCTCCATGAATGCTATTTTTATTCAGATTGTGACATATATATAAAAAACATTTAAAGCAGCTTCTGATAACCAAAGTATTCCATTTCGTAAGGAAGGAAAGGGGCGACATCAAAATAATAACATACTTAGGGTTTAATTCCCCGAATCCCGATCTGTTTAATGCTACAAGGCACGGGACAAGATTTATTCTTCGTAGAGTACTTATTTAGACCTTGAGTAGCCTTCAAATATGCTTTTTAATCAAACGTAGAAATTGGTTTAAGTTTTAGTAAATTATCATCAAAAAAATGAAACAATAGTACAACTACTAAATAAAGTTTAACATTAAACAACCAATAGTAACACTAATAATGAGTATTGAGTAATATGCAATATTATTTATTACAAATATTGATAACCTGACATTAAAGATAAAGCCACATGTCTCTATATTGGGTAATTAAAACATAAAACAACCAGTAGAACCCACAATATCAACCCATTATGAAAACAAAGAGAGATGTTCATAATCCGTATAGGGATTGGCTCCTGGGCCAACAGCCTTTAATTCTGTGGTTAATTCTTGTGTTGAGAACATAGACCTGGTGATTTCTTCCTCAATGTGTCTAGACGGAAGAAAGATTCAGGGCATGAATTTTGAGTACAAATCCTTGCCGAATTTCTTACTGGTCATGTTATATTAGGAAAATCTCACACGTTCCAGTATATTTTTATTGATTGATTCAACAATTATTCATTGAACACCTACTCCATGCCAGTATTTCAGATATTTAGAGTATACTAGTAAATAAAAGTCAAAAATCTCCAACCCCAAGAAACATAATCAATAAGTAAATTCTGAAGCGTGGTAGAACATAAGTACTAAGTACTTATATTGGCATAAGTACTATGCCAACAGTACTTTTCTTTATACAAGAAAAAAAAAGAAATAAAGAATAAAGAAAGAAAGAAAAACATAGGACAGAGTAAGAGGAAAGTGAGTTGCCAGAGCCCCAAGCTGAAATGTCAAATACAGTAACCAGGGTTGGTTTCACTGCAGAGCTACCTGGAGGAGGAATTAAGTAGAATGGTGTTATTATATTTGTTCCTTATTGCTCCTGTAACCATGACCCCAAATATGGAAGCTTAAAATGACACAAATGTATTACACTACACTTCTGCAGCTCAGAAATCCCAAATGGGTCTCATCGGACTAAACTCAAGGTGTCAACAGGGCTGCATTCCTTTTAGAGAATTCAGGGGAAGACCTCTTCCCTTGCCTTTTCCAGCTTCTAGAGACCATCTGCTTTTTCTGGCTTCTGGCCATCCCTCCAACCTCCACTTCTATCATCTCATCTCTCTCCAACTCTGGCACTCATGCCTCCCTCTTTTAAAGACTCTTTTAATTACGCTAAGCCTACTGGGATAAAACAGGACAATCAACTCATCTCAAGGTCCTTAACTTATTCGCATCTGCATAGTCTGTTTTGCCATGTAAAGTAACAGGTTCCAGAGATCAGGATATGGACGTCTTTGTCCTACCACAATTATCAATGTGAACATTTTCCTAACCAAGGTGTTTCGAGGCCACTGGGCTACATACCAAGTCCTCCACCAAGCTCTCTCTTTCCAGCTCCCTTCCCCTGTCCCACCCCAGATCATATTATGATGTCCCTATCCTGGTCTGTACCACTGATTTTTATCGTGGTTTCCAAGAGAGAGACATGTAGATCCATCTCTAACGTCTAGCCTTAAAGGAATTGGGGACGTTCTTCATGCAACCATTTGGGAAAAGAATGTTACAGGCAGAGGGAACAGCCAAGGCTAAGGCCTTGGGGCTCGAGCACACCTGGCAATGTGGAAAGCACAGCACGGCGGCCAGAATGGAAGAGCGAGTGAGGATGGGAGTTCTGGGCAATAAGGCAGAGAGACGATGGAGCCCACGCACATAGCACCTGGCAGGCCTGTTTCACCCTCAGAGACCTGGGAAGACAGTGGCAGCCTGATGTGCTTTAGGGTGATCTATTAATAAATCACTTCCAGCCTTAAAAAAACATGTCACTGGGCAAATCATAGAAAGGGTAAGCACCATAGTTTACCTTGATTTTAGTCAATGATCAGAAATTACTTTTCTCCTCTTTAAACTGCCCTGGCACTGAACTGAAGCACCGAGCCTTAACCCTGAGAAAGGAGCCATCTCCATGGGGAATGGAGAAAGAAAAGACCCTGGCCTCAAAGCCTCAGGAATCAGTCTGGTGAACTGGCTTCATTCCTTGCTTCTTCCAAGAGCAGATGAGAACTCTCCTCACTCCCTCTCAGTTTCAGGAACCTCCATGTCATTAATAATGTACACACACACATACATGTGTTTTGCATATGGGCCAAGCAGAGACTACCGAAACTCTGAAGTCTTGCTGGTCACAGATGCCAAGAGTCGGGCAAGAGGAAGTAGCAAAAGCTGGAAGGAGCCACTGCATTACAGACTCATTCTCCTCTGGATTTCCTGCCTCTCTCGCCTGCCAAACCTCACTTGTGAAAAGCCAGGCTTCACCTTCTATGAGTCAGGTCGGTTGCGGAAAGAAACCAATTTCATATCAGAGTGTAACAGATGAGCTTTTTGGGTGTATGTGGCCTCAGGCGGAAGCCTGGACCTCCCATTAGAGCGCGCTGCCTTAGCGAGCTGAATGCGGGCTGCTGAGGAACTGACCAGAAGGTGCTGGCCTGCTCTGGAGTCTGCTAGGACAAACAGCGCCAGTGTGTGCTCTGGGGGCCTGGGGTGCACCCAGCTGTGGGGTGTTTCCCATGTTCCCTATAACCTGGATATGTTGCTCATGATTTGATCATCTTCAGACTGGACATATGACAAGCCAGGGAGCCACAGCAAGCCCTGTGCACACCGACAGCTGAAAAGGGTCTTTGTTTTATGGCCCTTCACATCATCTGGGCAGGAGCCCAGGAGCAAAAGAAAAGGGGAAAAGCAAATCAACCTTCCCGCCACTCACCCAGTGACCTTGGCACTGACGGGGCAGGAGGTACCTGCCAGGATTAACAGCAGTGCCATCTCCCCCACCTAAGTAGATACCTCTCAAAACACATTTTGCTGTCCCAAACAAAAAAGTGCTTCTTAGGTTTTAAAAAAAACAAACAAACCAAAAAAGCCTCCCCGTTATTATTATTGTTAGTAGTGAGAGTATTAAGAGGACGAGGAAAAGGAAGAGCAAATTCCTTTTCAAATGACCATGGGGAAACAATGAGGAATGTCTCCTGTAAGAAGCCTAGATAGTGGGAAAATAATTATTTTAGAAAGTCAAAAAAAAAAAAAAGTAAGGTAGACAAAATAGAGAAATAATGTAAATACAGATTTCATATTAGGGAAATTTAAAGTCCTCAGCTTTCTGATGAATTTGGCAAGGCATAAGACTATGTCAGGGGCTTTCAAAAGCAATTTATGTAACCAAATCATATGTACCCCCATAATATTCTGAAATAAATTAAAAAAAGAAAGAAAGATACCACCATCAACAAATTAAACTTTTATATACTAAAAAAATAAATAAATAAAAATTTTAAAAAATAAAGACAGGGCATTTGGGTAACCCTGTGTCTGGGATATGTGGTGCTGTGTTGGCACATCTGGCAAGAAGAACACTTTCCCTTTTTTGTCACTGCCCCACTGCAGGTATCTACATGGCAGAACTAATATGACAGTTACATGACATGCATATAAGACTGTATACCAACTTCTATGGCGGTTGAGAGAAACCTCAAGCTGAGTATAATATATATGAAATTTCTGGCATCCGCTACTCTTGGCCTTATGTGAAATGCTGATTTGATTTTGAATCTTTCAGTTTTTGAATATTTTAGAAGGGTACACACAGTATGTTTACATGTGGCTTCTTTCATCTCTTCTCTTTATCTTTTTTCAATCTTCTTAGCCCCAGTTTTTACAAGCACAATTAAAACACAGACAGAGTAAGTAATGGCCTATGTGGAATGAGGGGTAGGTGCCCAGGAAGGGATCCCTCATGGTCTCTCATACTCTGATGGGCGTTTTTGGGGTTCCATCACAAAAATGTCCTTCCTTGAAACTAAGAGTTCAATCGCTGTTCAAATACATACAGCCCTGAGGGCTATTACACATCAAATTCAAATTGATTTGAAAACACCAAGAGCACACTTGGGAAATGGAAGAAGAAAAAAGTGATGGGAAAAAGAGATGTACAGCTTAGGGAGTTTGAGATCTTTCCCAGCAAAGTACACTGACTACCCAGGTTTGACTCAAGATGATTCTAGTCATAAAATACTACAAGGAAAGAGACAATTCACTACTGATGGACAGTATGGATGAATGACCTGATAAAACCATCGTAGTTCAATTTTAGATTATTCGATACATTGTTTTTGCTATGATGAATGAGTGAGTGACTGAATGAATCTCGATCCATGGATCGACGACAATGAAATAGGAATACTGCTGAACGAAGAAGCAGAATACGAGGCATCAAAGTTGTGGCTTCTTTCAGCTCCCCTCTTCTCTCTTTTTTCAATTTCTTTAGCCTTACTTGTTCCAAATGCAATTAAAAATAAAATTCAAAGGTAGATCTTCGATTTCAACAAAGAAACAGAGTATCAGAATCACAATAACAAATTGTTGCTTGGGTAAATATCTTCCATCTGTGTGGCAACTCATCCTTCCCAAAGCCCTTAATGCACTCTGGTACAAAAATTTACTTGATTTTTACAAGTATATGCACAATTGCTGTCTTTGTTTTTTAGCTCAAGTAAGTGTCACCCACAAAAAAGTGCAATTTGCCAAAGATTACCTGGATATTTAGCAATGATGCCATCTGTAAGAACCAGATACTATCATTCCTAGACAAGGTCCCTTTCAACCCAAACCAGCTCAGGGCCAACGTGATCACGGTTACCTGAGTTGTGGCGGCAGCTTGAATCTGTTACGCACATCGTCGAAGCGGTTGCCTAGGTAAGGGGTGTCCACCGTCACAAATATGGCCTTGTAGCCCATCCGCTCTGCCCGCCGCACGAGCTGCTTGGTGACCTCACGGTCCTTGTAGATGTACAGTTGCAGCCAGCGAAGTGCCTCAGGACCAGCCTCTGCCACTTCTTCAATTGAGCAGGTGGCCCAGGTACTCAACATCATGCCAGTTCCCAAGGACCGACAGGCTGAGAAAGAGAGGAGATGATCAAGACAGACCTGGCATTGCTCCCCCTCCCAAGACTTCAGGTTGCAGGTCAAAGTGTAAAGACCATAAGGGCAATTTGGCAATATGAAGTTAAATTTTTTAAAAGTTGGAAATATGTATTCCTTTCTACACACTGTGTATTGCTCCTAAAGGAAAAAATGAGTCAAATAGGCAAAGATAGGCTACATGTATGTAAAAAAATTGAGAACAACCTGAATGTCCAGCCTTAGGGGATTGATTAAACTACAGCTCATCTATAAAATGAAATAAGTATACCCATTAAAAGTAATGTTATTGTGATGCTTAGTTTTATGGATCAACTTGGCTAGGTTGTGGTGCCCAGATATTTGGTCAAACATATCTGGATGTTGCTGTGAAGGTATTTTATAGATGAGCTCAACAATTAAATCAGTAGACTTTGAGTAAATCAGCTTCTCCTCGTAATGTAGATGGGCCTCATCCAATCAACTGAAGCCCTTAAGAGTAAGACTGGCCTCCCCTGGGGAAGAGAAAGAGGGAATTATGCTAGCAGATTGTGTTCAGACAGGAACTGCAACATCGACTTTTCCCTGGGACTCTAGCCTGCATACCCACCCTGCAGATTTCGAACTTTCCAGCCTTCACAATTGGGTGAGCCAATTCCTAAAAATAAATATCTACCTATCTGTGGAGAGATATATGTAGATAGATAGATAAATATAGATATGTAGATATAGATATAGACAAACGTGTGTATATATATGTGTGTGTGTATCTCCGGGGCGGGGAGAAAGAGAGAGAGAGATCCTATTGCTTTTTTTTCTCTGTAAAACCCTGACTATTATAATATAAAACAATATTTACAGACATAGAAAAATGAATAAGATATATAGATATATTAAGGAAAGAAAAAAGTCTGCAAAATGGCATGTAGTACATGTTTCCATGTTTGTACAAATGTAATTATTAGTATATGAACGTAAACAAACTAAATGCCAATGATGGGTGGGAGAATTATAGGTGAGTTTAATTTTTTCTTCTTTTAATTTTTTTATTTTGTCCTCCAAAGTTTTATTAAAGATATAGTCTACCATTTATGTTGTCTTTCAAAACTTCATGAAATGCGAGTGCTGTAAATATCCCAAGTAGACTCACATCCTTTTGAGCAAGGTGGCAGTTACATCGTTTTGATAAAGGTAGCAAGAAATGAGCAAATAAATGAAAAATCAAATAGAGTCATCTAACCAATTAGTTTTCCAGAATATTTGAAAGAACATGGGTGATAGGCTTTCCTCCAAAATTAGGTGGTAAAATTGGAGTCAGCTTTAGCGGAGGAGAAAGCGATACAGTGTTTATGGGCCATATGCAGAATACACCAAGAGATAAATTACCAGTGTATAAAACTGACTATGTGACTCCAGACCATTTAATGTATCTGAGTGCTCACCATGTACCAAATGGGAGTAAACACAGTTGTCTAAGTGACACTCTTAGAATAATGATGAAAATCGAATTAGTCACTATTTATAAAGCTACACTGAGAGGTTAAAAAGCTTCCATGATTCTCAAACTTTAGAGGACAACCAAGTCCCCTGGAGAGTTTGTGAAATCACAGATGTCTGGGTCCCACCCACAAGGTTTTCTGATTCAGTAGGTCTGAGATGAGGCCCAAGAATTTGCCTTTTTAACCAGCTCCCACATTTTGCTGATACTGCCAGTGTTGGATCACACTCTGACATTTAAAGAGCATCATAAGCACTTAATAGTAAAAGTCTAAGTTCAAATAGCAATAAAATGAATTTTTTTGAAAAATATTACTTTTCCTATGCCTTTCAAGGTGTTTTTTGTCCATATTCTCCAGGTCACTGTCAGATACTGAAGCTCTGAGCTGGAGAGCATCATGTCTACAGGTCACTAATCTATTCCCCCCACCCCAAGAGTTCCTTTGAGAGCTTCTGCCACAGGGACTCAGGACTTGCAAAATATTGTCCAAAAATATTTTATTAAGTAACAAGACATATGAACAGCTGGACCATTGTCTTATATTCATTGATTTGGAAATATGGACAATAACTCCAGGTCACCCACTGCTATTTAGAGGGAACACCAGGGGACATTGATCGCTTGGATCACCATCCTCCATCAATTTACCAAAAAGAAATTATGTCCAAAAGAGGATGTTACCTAACAAAGGTAACACAGAGATGAGCAGCAAAGTAGATCAGATAAGAACCCAGGATGTCTGACCACTCCCCCAGGGCAATGACCTTTCTAGAATTCCCAGAGTCCTAAAAGACTCCCTGGTACCAAAAATAGATAAGTGTACTCCCTCACTATTTCAGGACCATGACACCCAAAAGAGCAGGTTGCCATGTGTCTAAGAGATACTACCTTGCCAACAGCTCTGGGAAGGCATGGAGTCTTAGAATTCAGTGGGAAGATCTGCCACATAATGTAAGTGCAGAGTGTGGATGCACAAAAGGGCACCACTCAAAGAGAACCACTCAGATGACAGGGGCATTTTTTGTAGTTAATACAAAGGCCTCGTGTAAGCCAGCAGCAGCTCTGCCAATAGGATATCAAAATCCACAAAAAAAAATTTGACTTCATAAGAAATATCTACAGGCATTCCACACAGATTGCATAAGTGCCACAAAACAATGCGCAAATAATATCTACTTCAACTAAACTGTCTAAAGTTGCAGGAATTGTCAACCCTCACAAATATTCTTCCCAAATTACTGGGATACGCATGTCCAGAGAAAAGCAAGGTCAATCTATTCCATCTATTTCCTGAATCTACCTGCTCTGATACAAATAGCTTTAGGAGTCATTGCTGCTCAATGTTTATTTTCCAATGATTAAATCATATGTGGCTGAAATTTTGAACTGGAGTCCCCAAAATTCTAAGTTACCATTGTTTCCAGTTATAAGCATCCAATAAATCTTTGGCGATTTAATAAATTATCCCAAGATAATTCTCTTGGATGTAGGGAGAATATCAGAGTCTGTGCTGACATATTATCATTTGAGGCTAAGATACTATTCCTAGGGCAATACAGAGGAGTAAAACTTAGAAGGCTTCATGCTCCCTGGAACAAATATCAGTGATCACTATGATCTCAATTCACTTGTGATTATTTGCTGTGATAAATGAAAAATTATTGATGAATTATATCCATTATTTTCAATACAGTTTTATATTAAAATGAATTAAGAGAGCCTGGGATTTTACAAATTTTATGAATGAGATAGCATCGTCAGGCTTTGTTTAAAAGTTCTAATTATAAAAGAGACACTAGTGAAGTCTCAGGCATTGATGCATCAAAAGAAAGGTACATAAATGACCTGGTTGATAACATTAATACTTATATCTCAGAACAACAACAGGGCATAATGGATTAAGAGTCAAAAGGCCTGGGCTACAGTCCCAGCCTTGCCATCCATGTGACAAATTCCATCTGCAAAACAGCCACCTTTCCCAATCCATAGCATGACTAGATAGTCCATTGAGGCAATGTTTGTGGACATTTCCTGTGTAAACTCTGAAGCCATGCAATCATAAAGGGTTAGATGAGAGAATGCCTAATACTATTTGGAAAAAAAAGTCCTAGATAGCTTTATAAACTTCCATAATTTTGCCAGGGACTTGGGTGTTTTAACATCATTGTTCATTAATCTTATCCACAGCCAACTTTCCTCTAAATTATTTTTTAGTTAATTAACTTTTATTTACTTTAATTGACAAATAATAATCGGATATATTTATGTGGTACAATGTAATGTTTTGATCTACATATACATTGTAGAAAGATTTAAACAAGCTAATTAACATATCCATCACCTTACCAACTTATCATTTTTTTGTGTGGTGAGGACATTGAAAATATATTCTTTTAGCAATGCTGAAATATACAATACATTATTATTAACTGTGGTCACCATGCACTCTGTGGTAAGGTTTTAGATTCCACATATAAGTGAGATCATATGGTATTTGTCCAACTATGCCTGGATTATTCCACTAAGCATGATTTTCTCTAGGTTCATCCATGTTGTCACAAAGGACAAGATTTCCCTCTTTTTAAAGGCTGAATAGTATTCTATTGTGTATATATACCACGTTTTCTTTATCTATTAATTTGTTGATGGACACTTAGTTTGGTTCCATATCACAGCTACTGTGAATAATGCTACAATGAACATGGAAGTGAGGTTATCTCTTCAACATACCTATTTCAATTCCTTTGGCTATATAGCCAGAAGTGTCATCGCTGGATTGTGGGTTAGTTCTATTTTTAGCTTTTTGAGGAATTGTATCAAACTAAAAAGTTTCTGCACAAGCAAAAAAAACAATTAACATAGTGAAGATACAACCCATGGACTGGTAGAAAATACTTTCAAACCATACACCTAATAAGGTGCTTATTTCCAAAGTACATAAAGAACTCAAACAACTCAATAGCAAGAAAATAAATCATCTGATTTTTAATAAATGGGCAAAAGGTCTGAACAAACATTTCTCAAAAGAAGAAATACAAATGACCAATAGATATACGAAAAAAAAATGTTCAACATCCCTAATCATCAAGTAAATCTAAATTAAAACCACAACGAGCTATCACTTCCCACCTGTTAGAATGGTTATACGGAAAAGATGGAATGATAACAAGTATTTGAGAGGATATAGAGAAAATGAAACCCTAGTATACTGTTGGTGGGGATGGAAATGGAAATGTGCAACTATTTTGGGAAATGGTATGGAGTTTCCTCTACAATGTTTTTGCTGCTCAAGAAACCCATTCTTCTTTCCATTGAAAATACAGCTTCAAATGCTCACTACCTATAGGAAGAAAATTCTTAAAGGACAATGGAATCTTCTCCAGGCTAAGGACCTCCCTGCAAGGACCTACATAGGGAAAGAATATATAAGGAGATAATTTCTGCATTCCCAAGGTGTACCTTCCTTTGGAGATCCAGGAACAAGATAATAGCACATGA